ACACATCAGAAAAGTTGATTTTTTTAAAAATCAACCTTTTCTTGAACTTAATAGCTAAGGAAATATCTGTATTAGTAACTTGTTACTTAACCATAAATAAAGGGCATATCTCTAAACCAAAATTTTCTTATGCCAAAGGGAGGAAAATGCTACTGCTGAGTAAAATGTAGTACTTGGAATCTTGGGGACAGTGAGGCAAAGACTTCCTTAGCACCAAAAATAACAGAAACAGCATTTCCACAGTATTCTAGGATCTCAGGCAAACGGCTTACTTAGTAAACAAAATGGCTAAAGAATGACCAGTGAAGTACTTTGCTTCGATCGTTTTTTCCAGGTCAGTATGACCAAAGATATAACCTTGTCTGCATCAAAAACAATACAACTTCATATAGTCCAATACTACCGATTTTTCTTTAGAATGTGCAAATATAGCACCAAAGCTACAATTTACTTTAACAACAAAATAGACCTCCAGGCCCCCTGCCCCCTCCCCAATCAGCACCTATTGAAGTACTAGTGAACATACCTAGAGTACGGAGGCTCTTGTGCTTGGTAGTGGTGCAAAAGGCTCAAGAGTTTGCCACTGGAAACAAAGCATTCCCAGATTACATTCAGGTAGTGAACTGTTGTAATTATGCAAGAAACCATGCCCCCCTGTTCCAGTACTCACAGTACTCAAACCCTTCCCCTCCCTCGACCTTCTTCTGTACTCCAGAAGATAAGGTCAATGCTACGGAGGAAATTCAGGTTAAATTTAAGGCAGGGATATTTAAGGTAGGCAGAGGTAGAAGATGTGAAGCAGAGTTTCTGAAAACTGAAAAGCATCAGATTACACCAATTCTCAAGTTTATGAAGACAGGCCAGATATTTATGGAACTGTCTAAGATCACATAGCTGGTCATATTCTTCTGAGCACATAGAGCTGTAGGAATAAAGCACTTAATATAGATTGCAACTCCATGTAAAGAAAACCCACATGCTCACAATTATACCAATAAACATCATCAGGATAAACAGAGACAAGCTGGAAGTTGCCTAGGACTGTTTTACTTGGTTCTACAACCACATGATGATGAGATCAGTCACTGGAAAAGCACCGATGCTCAGGAGAGGGTCAGTGGAAAAGAGGGAGAGCTTCAGCAAGATGGGTTGACAGAGCAGCTGCTAACATGGGCTCAGCTCTCTGGTGCCATTGTGGGGTAGGTGTGAGTTGGAACGGACTCAACGGCACCTAAAAACATCTGAATTCTAGAACCATAGGCCTGCCTGTGGCAAAAAAAAAAATAAAAAGCCAAATAGCTTAATGTGTGTGGGCCCTGACATCGCAGAAACTTGAACGCATATTTATATTTTCACCATAGCCGGATGGATGAGTACACAAAATAAGAGGTAGACATACAGTACTGCACTGACACAAAGAGAACTCCTGGCACATGCCGTCACATGGATGAATGCTGAAAACAGGGAAATCGAAATGTTACATGCCAAAGGCTAAACGTGGTATAGTCCCATAGACAAAAGGGCAGAGACCAAATTGCGGGGAGGGGAGTCTCTGCTCAGAGGCCCTGAATTCCTGTTGGCTGTGGTGGAGAAATTTGGAAACAGAGTGGGGACAGTTGACAACATGATGAGTACTATCGAAGCCACTGAACTGTCTACATAAAAAGTGTTGAACTGAAAACTATTTGCTCTGTTATAGAGGACTACCGCAAAACAAACAAAAAATTAACAATAAGAACCTTTAAATTATAAAGAGCTTTCATCTTCATTGATTTTGGTACCTTAATAAAAAATGACTATAAGTAACAGTCTTTTAAAACAAACATGAAGAAATGTATGCATCTGAAAATATAGAGCTTTGGTTACTGGTCATATTTCTAAAACCACGTAAGAGCCATTCAGAGTGAATTAGTGAGTGAACAAGCTGAGTAAAGCAGGCTTGGGTTTGAAGGGGGGCTATTGTTTTAAATGCACAGATTGTTTCCAGGACGAAGTGTGCCATTTGAAATGAACACAAAACTGTGCTATGCTAGCACTGATGACTTTAGTGTACGCCTATCTCCTGAAACACAGAACACCTACAATATCAGGTCCACCTTGCACATTTACACACAAGAGAGGTGCTGAAAGTTCGGGGAAACTCTATGTTCCCCAAACACGTTGATGCCCTCGTGTGTACGGCTCCGTACAAGCCTTAACATTTTTATTTCCTGTGGCTCTTTTAAACGTAAATCATACGGTGCTGAGTGTAATTTCAAGGAGTAAGTAATAAAAAGTACCTGCAATGACCATCAAGTTGAATGACACCATAAAGACACAATCAGACACATCCAGCAGGAGGAGGATTCTGTCAGACAACTAGCTTTTGAAAGACAATGCCAGGTTGGCCATAGACCAAGATGACTGGTCCAAGGCAACAGAGACATACAACAGTAGGCACACACACATGAACACAACTGTGTGTTCTGTTGTGCATAAGGTCAGGAGGAGTTGTAACTAACTTGATGGCATCTAGCAGTAAGATTAAACTCACTGCCACTGAGTCCATGCTGACTCAGAGTGACCCTCTAGGACAGGGTGAACTGCCCCTGTGAGTTTCTGGGACTACACTGTTCACAGGAGTAGAAAGCCCCATCTTTTTTCTAAGATTGCAATGGATAAGTTGACACAAAATGTGTAGCAAGTGTCAAACTAAAACTGTTCTGTAAGCTCACCCAGTTCACAATTTTTTTTTTTAATCAGAAGCAAATCAGATCCATAAATTCAAATCATTTTTATAAAGGACGGGTATGTTCGGTTTCAAAATAAAATTTAGTAAGAAAAAAAGTTAATGTGGTTACAATCTATAATAGAAAATAGCCAAATATGACATGCCAGTATTTCCTTTTAAAAAATTACCTTAGAAAAGACCACTATTGAGTAAAGAAAAATGCTCACCTATAGTAGCAAAACAAAACACTGTACTAAAAAGAGCAAGTTCCAAAGCATTTCAGCACAAGCTTTTAAAAATGAGTAATACATTTCTTCTTGATGTGATGGAAATATTGAATTATCTATGTGAATTATGTCAATAAAAGTGTTAAAAAAATAAAGATACACAGAATATGTACCAAAAGTAACTAACAGCTGGCTCCTCCTTCCCTGTTTAATGTTTAAACAAGTGGTTTCCCAATTGAGTACAATCACTGTAGGGTATTGACAAAATCATCTATGGATACACCAAAAAAAAAAATCCATTTTTTTCTCTTATCACTTTACAGTTTCTATTTCTAGTGTATTAGTACAGACTTTGTACAATCCATATACATTCTGAAGCTATATGATTACAGATTTCCATTTCTACATGTCTACGTTGAATTGCAGATAAGCTGGAAAATTTAGGTACAGCTCATATATAATATCAGTTAATCAGATGTTTGTCTTATCAACACCAGGGGCTTGAAAAACTTTCATGAAATTTTAACACAAACTTTTTCAAGTATCCTTCAGCATCTTTAACATAAGACACTAAAAATAATTATGCTTTGGTGTATGTTGCAAAGTATGGACTACAGACATTTTAATGTAATAAGCTTTATGAAGGTCTGTTTCTGAGCTGTACAAAAACCAGACTTTCATAATGCAGGGATTGCCTAAATTTAAAAATGTGTCACTAATCAGGGCATCTAACCAGAAAGTTTGTTACCACTGTTCTATTAAACAACTGTTTCTTAAAATGTCACTAACCACCAAGACAGCTGATTTCAAACTTCTTTAGCTCTTATTCTATCCAAAGAACTGGGAAGAACATTATCAGTTAAGATATTCAAATTGTAAAGAAATAGATAACAATGCTTGCTAGAGTTTATCTAAAAACAAATTACTAAAAATATAAACAATATGAAGTTTGGTTCAAATTTTAAAACAACTATTTATGGCTAATACTTTCCAAAATAAAGAATACACAACAATAGATTAAAATAATTAAATTGATGATGACACTTGACATTTGAACCTATGCAATTAGTCCTCCCTTAAAAGGATTTCTTGCTGAAGGTGAAGTTATTAAAAAGTAAAAAATAAAAAAGGCCCAAAGACAACAGTCTTAAAAGAACCAACAAAATCTTCATTACGGTAGGAAATGTGTTAAATCAATTAATCAATTCATTTAATATACTGCTCGCCTCAATTTTTCATTTGGTTAAATAATAGCATGGCATAACCAGGAAAATTATAAATATTGAAG